ATATATATAACTTGTATCATTAATAAGATAATAAATCCATTCAGTTGTACAAGAGATAAATATGTGTCTTATTAATATATTTCACAATAAACAAAATATATAAAAGAAAAGTAACAATTAATTAATATATCTTAAAATAGGTTTATAATTATTATAATTAGTAGAAAAAATACCCATTAATTTCTTATAGGATCGAGAGAGTAATAAACAATATGTTTATGAAATTCACACGAATGAAAAAAAAAATCCATATCTTTACACTAAAAAACTAAAAAAAATGTATGGTTATTTGGTTGGAATAGTCTAAAATTCATTTTTTTTTCGATAATTTTTTTGAGCCAAAGAAAAAAATTGCATTGAATAAATGTCTCAAATTTCCAATTGTGAGGCCTATATATACTACCGATCATTTTCATAACGAGAATCAATAAAAAAAATATTAAACATGAATTCGATAACTTAATCCACAATTCCATATATCACAAAAATAATTAATTAAAGACAAAACTAATAACAAAAGTTCACTCCTATCCTAATCTAATTCCAAGAATCTTAGAAACTCGTAGAGTTAATAAGAACAAAACAAAATGAAAAAAATAAATAATTAAAAAAATGATTTTATGAATCCTCAACATCCACAAGATTTTAAGTCTCGATCATTAATATTTTCTTCATCTTCGGTAATTAAAGAATCTTAGAAGATCATAAGATTAACGAGAAGAAAGCAAAATGAAACAAATGTTGGAAATTTTATATTATTTAAGAATAAAATCATAATAGTATATATAAGTGAAGAATAAATCTTATCTTATAAATTAATTTTGTAAATATGAGTTAAACTCTTAATCTATTTTCTTAAGATAGTATTAGAGTCTATATCTTAACGATTATTGATTGTTAGTAAATTTATCAAATCATTCACTTTTGGGCTATCCATAGATATTTTTATTCTAAAAATTATTGATTATTAGTGGCCTTATCAAGCCAAACTATGTCCTAATGATTATTGACTGTTAGTGGATTTATCAAACCACTTGTTATTGGACTTTTATCAAATCACTCATAAATGCATATATCCTAACAATTATCGATTGTTAGCGGACTTATCTAGTCACGTGCTATAAAGTTGTTATTAGACACCTACAAATATTCAGTCTTGTAAATTTCAAACTCGAAATATTCAGTCATTAGTGTAAGATAGTGTGTTAGATATCCCACATTGTCTAGAAATAATGTCATACAAATTTTAGAGGAAGAATCTCTCGCAAAGTTTGACACTCGTTGAATAAATTATTTATAACAATGATTAATTTTTTTAAAAATTATTAAATGTTGAAATCATAAATATTTATGATTAAAATATAAATTAAATCACGGACATACTGAGATCCGCCGACATGTTCCCTTGCTTTAGCTACGCAACATTGGAATAAAAACCATGTTGTTTATAGAAAAAAAAATGTTTCGAATTGGAAATGAAAGTTGTAAATTTAATTTTAATTTTAATTATTTTAGACTTAAAGTGGTTCACATCAATTATGTTTGGGTCTGTCATAAAATTAGGATATATATGAAATAAAGTTAATCATCTATCCACTGTTAATATAAAGTTTTTTTTACACTGATAACCAATTATATTTATTTATTGTGTCATATCATTGTAAACATATTTATTTTTAACAGTGATATGACATAATAGACAAATATAATTGGTTGTCATATTATATGATATAATATAGTATTGTGAACTTGTTGACAACCACAAGCCAATTGATTAGAGACCGTTTGATTAGATACTAAGTAGTCAACTTATATATATTAACTTATTTTAGTCATAAATATTTTTAAAGATATAATTATATATATATCAGTATTAAAGATAAAACATGATATTCAAAGATAGTAATCATTAATTAAAGATAGTTTGTATAATTAACAGGAGATGTTTTCAATAATAATAAAAGATAAATATGTCAAATGATAATAATTTACATGCATTAATTATAAGAATAAAAGAGGAAACAATTATATAATGGATAGACTATGCATAACAGCATAACTAGGTTTTTGTTCACTATCACACTTTTTATGCTCTTGTTTTAGGAGTATCTTAGGTATAAAAAAAATAGACTCTTGTTTTTTTGGGGTGATGCAAAGAGTGAATAGAATGCGCAAAATGGGGTATGTTTAGTTACGTAGGTGTTGCATGTAGTTAGTGACAGCATGTGCTTAAAATGCAGCGACATAAGGATGAAAGTAAAGTGTTAGAGTCTGAAAAAAGGAAACGAGAGAAGGAGGCGTAAGAGGGAAGTGAATGAGTTGTTACGTAGGGCTTGGGCATATCCCAAAGATTTCACCCGAATGTAGCTGCGCCCTTCAATCATACTAAATATCGGTCCTATAATGTCGCTGCTGACAGTTACAAATGGACGGTGGAACCTCAAAACCCAGCCCCAAAACTCGCCAATATTAGAACACACTATCCTCTTCCTTTCCCTTATTCCTCTCTCCCTTCCATTCATTACCCCACCCTAATCCATTCCCACCCCCTCACGGCGAGGCAGCGCAAGGTGGCCCCCCTTGCAGCCGCCGCCGCCGCCGCACCACCAGCCATGACCGACCACCACCATCACACCAGGTTCTCCTCCTCCTCCTCTTCTTCTTCTTCTTGTATTTCGTCGCCGCCAAGCGAGTCGGACGAGGAGTTGCAGCACATGCCACTGGCGCCGCCGCTGTGGAGGAACCGGAAGAGGCTGTCGAAGCAGCTGTCGATGTGCGAGAAGCCGAGGGACATTGCGTGGGAGAGGAGGCGCATGCAGGAGCGGCGAAGGAGCTCCACCGTGTGCGATGATCTGACCGATGAGGACCTGAATGAGCTTAAAGGGTGCATAGAACTTGGCTTTGGATTCAACGAAGAAGATGGTCAGAGACTCTGTAACACCTTGCCTGCACTCGACCTTTATTTCGCTGTTAACCGTAGGTTGTCCCCCAGCCCCGTCTCCACCCCTCAGAGCGCCTCTTCCCTCGGAGGCCGTTCTTCTTCTTTCGGAAGCCCCAGGAGCGACTCTGACTCCTGGAAAATTTGTAGCCCAGGTCCACTTTTCTCCTTCATTACTTTTTTCTTTTTATTATATATATATCACAAAACTTTCATGCAATATATACTTTCCCTTCTTCACTCATCAGGATCACAGAGTTGACTTTGCTAATACTATACATTTTTTATTTCATGCATATTACTTGAATTCTGATAGGAGAACAACCACATGCTAGCGACATATATGATATTATATGCATGTATTTTCTTTTTGGTATTGTTTTCTATCTAGGGTTTAGGGTTTCATCCCGATAATATTAATATAGATTATGAATGTGATATATCTTATTATTGTCCAAGTTTTATGTTTGTGTTAATGGGTTTTGTACTTTTGTGTGTGGGTTATATGCAGGGGATGACCCTGAACATGTGAAGACCAAGTTAAGGCACTGGGCTCAAGCCGTTGCTTGTTCTGTGATGCAGTCTTATTGAGAGAAAGTGAGGGGTGTCTTGTACAGATCGAGATAGGAAGAAAAAATTAAGATAATTAAGAAACCATGGAAAAGAGGAGGCTGGGGTTAAAGTACAATTGGATTGTTCCTTCTGGGGATTTTCGTTGGAGACTAACTATTTGAATGGTTGGATTTAATTGGAACCAAATTGGAAGTTGGTTTGAGCAAAATGGTCTAACCAATTAATCACCCCAATTTTCTTCGTCTTTTTTTTTTTTCCCTCTCTTCACAAGTTGTTTAATATAAATCACAAATTGTCTTCCGCAGGGTCTGTTAATTCGTATAGCAATTTTTGGGTCATATGGTAAAATACAATAGAATACGGGGGTATGGGCTCTCCTTTCCATATATTGTCAAGATATACTCAAGAGACGTCACACACCTATCATGAGTAGATGTGAGTGTTCTACCCATCTTTAGCTTAGGACATCCTTTGACTCGCCGTGACTTGATTGTAATAATACATATATAAAGAGAAGAAGTCTCATTGCAAAATGTAATTTCTATTTGTTTCACTCTCATTCTCTCTTTTCCCAGCTCCATCTCATTACCCCTTCTCTGAATTATTTTGAAAGTAGCTAGAATTGGTGGTAAGAAGAAAAATGTCTCGTTCATGAGAAAAATGAACATGTAGTTGAAAGGAAAGGGCCCATTAATTGTAACTACATGTTAATTGAATTCTTGGTTTTTATTCACATTTAATTAATTTGAATTTAGTTCTTACATGAAAAAGTTTTTAAAACAATCTCTACATAAAAATGCTTCAATCCACTCTTTACCATTTTATAGTCACGATCATATTGGCTTTTTTATAAAGTGATAATAAAGAGTAATCTTAATTGTCAATGAGAAAGTTATGTCAAAATTTTAATATGTGCATGAAATATAGACCTATAATTTTCTCATTAACTACTATTAAGATTCTTTATCTTCTTAAGCGAGTTATTCACTTTAAAGAAAATAAATGTCTTGTAACAATTCACCAAAAAAGAAAATCTATAACATTACCCATCTTGCTTTTAAAAAAAACATTTACCCATCTTATATAATAAACATATCATGATTATGACGTTGATTCTATTTGACCGGCTACTGTATTAAATTAAATTTTAACATTCATTTTCAATTAAATCCTTAAACAAGATTTTTAAGAGTAATTAATCCGTTAAAAAACTGGTTAGTTGTTATAAGTTTGTTCGAGGTAATTGTTAGATTAAATAAGCTCTCTCTCTATATAGCATTTACACTGTTGAATTGATCAATGGTCTCATCAATTTGGAGTTACTTGTATATCCCCTTCTCAATTTTTTATATAGTATCATATCTCTTTATTGTAGAGAGTAATAATTCGGCTACAAAAGAAGATGAAAAAGAGATGAAAAATTCGGATAAACATGTGGTTGAATTGCTGAAATTAACAACTGTTTTTCAAATGCATTGTTCTACTGCAAACATTCAATTAGTCGATTCAGCTATGGTAACTGGGGGTGTGAATAAAAGGCCACACCAGTTCAGACCAAGGATGTTGATTTGTAGAGAGGCAAAACTATCTATAAAGAGCGTAGTGTCTTCTTCAAATACCACAATCGTCATGATTTCTATAGGTAAGGTTCCAAATCCTAGTTAAATCGTATGGCATAAAATAATACAACGAAAATATCGTTATCTTCAATCTAATGACGAACAAATTGGGAACAATATTTCAACAACATTGAAGCCTCTATTGATTCTACTTTCGAGTTCCAATGGAAGCTCGTACAAACAATATCTTCAATCTATTTCTTCAATTTTCTTATTTCACTTTTAATCCAAATAAAACACCAAACAAAGAAAATAAGTAAAAAAAAGTATATATCTCCTTATTTAAATGAATAAATAAGGATGGAAAACATAAATAATTTGTATGAAAAATATTTTATATTAATTAAAAAAAATAATGAAACTTTTTACTACATTTTTTCTTCATATAATTTTTCTTATGTTATAGAAAAGTAATTAGTTTTTATAAAATAAAATAAAAAATAAAAAGAAGTTTTCTTTGAGCCATGTGCCAATTTTTTTGAATTAGGATATTTTCCATTGGTAAAGTTTGTGAGTATATAAAAGTGATTAATAGTTATATAATTGATAATTGAATATATTTTGATATAGTAAAAGTTATAGAAAATGTAAAAAGAAGAGATATGGAATTTGTTGGGTTGGGTAATAAGAAAAGTTGTGAAAAGGCAAAGGAAATTAAAGGGAAAGGAAGAGGGAAATAAAAAAGAAATGGGGGCATAGGCCATAGCCACTAGCCAGCATCCTCTCCTCCTCCATTCCAGATCTAACCAACACTCCCAAATGTCCAAACCACCCACCGCCGGCTACGGTACCGTCGCCGGCGCCACCTCCACCGCCACCACTCCAACCACCACCACCACCACCACCACCACCACCTCCTCCGTCACTCCCCGTCCATGGCGCGAGTTCCTGGACCTATCGGCCCTCTCCCGCCCCTACTCCTACGACGAGGCCATGATTCGGCTCCGCAGAAACCTGAACTACTTCCGATTCAACTACGCCGGCGTGACGCTTCTCATCGTGTTCCTGAGCCTCCTCTGGCACCCTCTCTCCATGATCGTCTTCCTCCTCCTCTTCGTGGCCTGGTACTACTTCTACTTCTCCCGCCACGGCCCTCTCGTAATCCTCAACCAAACCTTCGACGATCGAACCGTCATCTGCGTTTTGGGTTTGGTCACCGTCGTTTCGCTCGTCTCCACCCACGTCGGCCTCAACGTCTTGGTCTCCTTGATTCTCGCCGTTTTGCTCCTTGGCCTCCACGCCGCGTTTAGGGTTACCGAAGATTTGTTCCTTGACGAGGAAAGTGGGTTGCTTTCCGTTGTGGGTACTCAGCCTCTCAGAACTAATTACACCCCCATTTGATTTTATTCTATTCGGTTCCGCAGCCACAAGGGTTTCTCTTTTCGCCACCATTCAATTTTCGATGGTGGCTCCTTTATTTTGATGCCAGGATGGGATTCTAACTCTGCTTAGGGTGAGGCATTGGTCTACATTGAAATGGAATTGGAATTGGAAATAGGTGTGTTTTGTCAATTTCTCTCTCTCAGAGAGACACGATAATTTTCTGAGAACAGGATTCGTTAAAGTAGTGACTCACAATGGGCCTATTTTGCTTGTTCATCGTGTTTGTTTACTTTAGACTCTATAAGTTTGTGTCTGGTTTTGCATAACCTCATTTTTCTTTTGCTAATGTGTAGTGTAGTAAATGTATCACACAGATGGTTTTGCTTTTGTTAGCTGCTCTGTTGCCCGTGGTAATTTTCATCACTTGCTCGACCTTCAATTCTTTACGAAATGCTGATTGTATTCTGCGCTTGTAGGGTTGTAATTGTTCATTTCATCAAACCTGTTACATGGGCCCTGGCATATGACTTAAATTGGTTTGCTCTGCATTGATTACGTAGACATTTATATGTCAATTGTTTGCAACACTTTTTAGGGGTATTTCTGTTGATTCTTAAGCTAAAAGAAAGGGAAAGTCTAGCTCATCATTGTTGAGTGTTGCTGGGAATGGGGTAAAGCGCACAGAAAGGGTGAAAAGGAGGATTTTGAGAAGAAAACTATTATAATGAAGCATATTAAAAGGGTACATGAAAGATAGATGGGTGATTATTATATTCGGATTAGTATGTGTCGATGCAATGATGATAGCACATGTCTCCCTAGATTTGGAAATCAACTTTGCTCCCTCTGGTTTTTTCATGTTTATGTGAGGAGGGAAGCTGAATGTAATCATGAATGGTGGTGTGAGAATATCATTTCTTTCTTCACTCTTTTTTTTTTTTTTAATCTTTTGTTATTGATTTTTATGCTACTGGGAATATTGGAATGACTCTGATTGTATACTTGGCGTTTGGTTGTTTTGGAGGGTGCTGCTAGTCAAGATGCAGCTCTGAATCTCTGATGTGTATATGCATTAGTCTCTCGGATGACATGCACGAGGTCTTCCCCACTGTAGTGGATACTGGGCTGTCGATTTAAACTCTAATTTCCCATTTACGATGAACACTTGATATATGCATCTATTTGGCCCGATTTTGCTTTTAGTAGCCGTTGGTAAACCTTGGTAAAATAAGGAAAATTAGTATTGGCCTTTTGGCATGTTTATGATTTTGTAGATGGTAATTAACGTCTTAGAAATGTGTTTTAAAAATGCACTGCTTGAACCTATATTTTTCTTTCTGGTAAAGTTTGCTTCTGAAACTGCAAGATCTCCTTTTTCATATTTATACTGTAGAGCCACAGCCACCCCTTCGAATTTATCAGATATTTATTTCCTCGTTGGAGCATTTATTCCAGGCTGTCGTGTCAATGATCAATTTGCACATACAGTAAACTTTCTCAATTTGAAGGAATGCTTTCAAGAGTACTTATACTGCATGGAGATATTTTGAAAAGAGGACTGTTATACAATTTGAAATATATTCCGAATTATTAAAATATTATTATCTTTTAATAAGTTTATTATAAAATAATTATTTAATTTAATATTTTATTATTTAAATTAACTTTTTTAATAATTCGGGAGAAATTTCGGCGTCGACATCTTCTTTCGGAGGATGCAGCATTTTCCTTTTAAAAAATAAAAGATAGTGACAAGTTGTGGAATTTAAGCGTTTGATAAATTTCACTTCAGTGACAACTATTTAAATCATTAGTTCACTACTGTCTTTGGGAGCTTTCATCTTTTGATGCGGTGCTTGTGCGGTACGATTGGGTCATTGGGAAATGACTGATGCCCACAACAGAAGAGTGCTTCCTGTAAAGTGTCAACCGAGTTTGTTACGTCTTACGACTGGGGGTATTCAAGTTGTTCAAGTTCAGGGTATTCGTTAAGTTATGAGCACACTTAGATAGAATGTATGATGTAATTGAGACGAGTAAAAAATCTATTATGTAAATTGGTATATAATTTTATTGTAAGAATATATTTTAATTATTTAACAATGCCGAAATGTTCAATTAACATTATCCTACATCTTAAAACTTAAATGAAATTGTATTTTAATTATCGACATGTTAATTATTTGAATAAATTATACTTGTGGGAAAGGGGAGTATTATTGAAAAGTGTATGTACTCATGCTTTTGCTTTTCAGAGAAGAGTGTAATTAAATTTATTTCTTTATTTTTTTTACTTGTCTACGACTTTTAAAAGTGTCATTAACATTAATACTTCATTCGCAAAATAGCATAGAGAATAAAAACGACTAAAATATTTTATTTTTTTTGTAAACTCAGAACACAACAAAAGATTTTTAAAATTTTGGAGACTAAAACACTTTAACTATGTAATTTCAAAGACTTGTCTAAGAATTTACTCAAATGTTAACTAGTAAAATTTTTTCATTTGAAATCACAAGTTATGTTAATACTCAATAGAGTAGATTTTACCCACGAGATAATCATTATTCTTTTATTAGGTTTCTAAAGTGATTGTATATATTTTCTAATAAAAAAAATTGCCATATGAACAAGCAACTCAAATATATAAAGCTAATAGTTTAAACAAAAAAATAAAAATTATACAACCAACACGCTCTACTATGCTAAACTACTTTCTCTAGATAGTTATGAGTTATCCCTGGGTAATCCAAATATATCTGTTTTCGTGTAATCTGCACTTTAAGATAAATCAAGCATCTTAATATTCTCAAACCAAAATGGCAGTTTTTCCCTTCAGAACACAATAAAAGAAAGAAAAAAAAAATCACATAGAATAAGAAGCAACAAAAAAAAAAAGCAGAAACGGAAGCCAACGAGTAAAAGGGGTTCAAGCAAGACAACATACATTCTAAAACTGAAAGAAAAGAGACAACACGACTCAAAAATGCCAAAGGTCCATTAGTTCATATTAACAAAAGAACAAGAAGAAGAAATCTATCAATAAAAAGAAAGTTTCTAATCCTCTTCAAGATTGATCGAGTCATTGAACTTTGCATACAGAATTTTCTTCAGTTCAGACATCTGAGCAAGCACAGATTCTTTTTCCTCTTCAAGTTTTTCCAATTTTTGGCTTGTCACCTCTTTCATCTGTTCTATCCTGTTCTCAACTTCATCCTTTGACACATGAGCAAAAACCTCTCCTATTTGAAACCGAACCACCTCTTCATCTGTGAGAATCAACTCGTTGCTTGCATCCTCTAAATTATCATTTGTTTCCTGTAAAAAATAAAAATTGCTGCTTTTACATCATGTAAAAAAACTGCTCACAATAGGTTTGCTGTAGTAAAATGCTTCAATGTCAGTGAAATTAAAATAATGACAGGAATTGCAGAACAGACATGAGACATTTTCATCAACAACTAAATCTCATTAACCCAAATACAACCAGAGAGCAGGAACGGATGGGATGAACTAATAAACTCTGAACCTTGTGTATGTTTAACGAAAAGTCTCAGATATCTTACTCAAGCAAAACTGAAATTAGTTAGTCCAAATAATTAATTTTGAATGATATAACCATATAATTATAATTGTCTTCTATTTTTGCTCTCCCTTCTCTACGTAAGTGAAAATTTGGGGCTCAAATCTTTTTTCTCCGATTCACACATTACATAAAAGTTCGTTTTAGTTCACTGCTAAAGTGTGTAGGCAACCAAACTCGGCTCTTAAGAAGTGAGCAATTCACTTTCAAGGGTAAAATAAGTATTCTGTTAATGAGAATATCAACAATCAATATTTCGTGCACATACATAACAAAGCACGACTGTGTTGAAATATCAACAACTAATTTTTCTCATAAACACTAGACATTACTTACTTTACTCTTACCCATTTTAAAGGAATCAAATCCATTCACACCTAATGTATTTTCTGTGAGAGTGAAGTGGATCCAGGGAAAGTTTTGATTTGATACAAAGCAATTAACTTAATATCGATATTATTGATGACCAATGAAAAGCCAAAAAAAGAAAAAGGGATACACAGACAGAAGTTTAACTCTCGAGTTTGTCCTAAGTTCTTAATCATACAGAAATCTTCTAGTAATATAACTAAACAAGAAGCAAATAAAATCTATACATACACTAAACAAAGGAGTGATGGTGCAGAAAGTGAAGTGGAATTATAGAGTTGCATACCTTAGCGATTTTGATCTCATCCTCAAGCTCGTGAAAGCGATTATTCAACCTTCCGAATTTGTTGATGTTCTGCTGGTCCTCCCATGTCACTTCCGTGTCAGATCCTCCCCCCTTTCGAATGACAAAAAATAGATAAGCTTTTCACATGAATTCGTTGAAATAACAAAGTGCAATCACAAGAAGTATTGGGGTTTTTCGTTACCTGCTGCATGATGCTGATTCAAATTCAATTTAGGGTTTTCGATATACCAGATTGACAAGTGACCCCTTCCCTCGTTTATAATATTGGGATTTGGCTTATACAAAAACTTTTGTTTCTCTCTCTCTCTCTCGAAAAATATTTATATAGTTGATATATTAGTATGCAGAATATATTTTTATTTTATATATTATAATTAAATTTATAATAGTTTTAAATATATAAACTATATCATAAATAAATATTTTGTCATATAAATTATATTTTAAATTTATGATAAGTAATTTATATTTTAACTAATTTTAGAATAATATTAATATTAAATTTAAAAATAAAATGATATATTAAAATAGACAATGGGTCAAGAAGAATTTTTGCTGAGGCTGAGGGTTCAACTCTATCTCCAGTGACGAAATCAACGTCGGCATAGAGGCTGTGATGAAAGAGGAGAATGCCGATACCGATCTGAAACATCGGATATGGTCGGAGACTGATCCAACCCGTGATGCAAGTTCATTCCTTTTTCAGGCAACGATAGAGAAAACGCCGACAACTTCCCAATAGAAGAAGCATTCGACAGTCTCGGCGACCCACCTTTGTTTTTCTCCTTAGATGAGCCAAAAGAATCCGTCTTTTCAAGCACAACGTGTCCCGGGCCAGATTCACCATCTGGGTTTTTCTTCGGCGACAGAGAGAGTTGCGAGAGCGACGGAGACTGGCATTCCCTCCGCTCCGGCGACGACGACATTGACGACGAAGGCACGTGCTGACCGAAAACCGGCGACGGAGACGAGAGTGTGGACAAGGATGGCGAGTGTGTCGCCGTCGCCGACAGCGTCGGCGACGGAGAATGGTGGGTCATGGTATTTTCCGGCGACTTAGGCTGTGATCTTTTGGGGCTTATGCTCACCGGCGGAGAAAGACTAATGGAATGAGAACGATCCGGGGAAGCAGAAGAGGAAGAAGAGTAAGAAGAAGAGGTGGACTCACTGCTGCTACGACCAACCAAGTTTTCTCCGGCAATGGCAGCGTAAACTCGCCGGGAAGAAGAGGTGTACTGGAACACCACCTCCAGGTGGTTGTGGCATGCCGGGGCGAGGCGGTGGCGGAGCGGGCATCCCGGGACGAGGCGGTGCCGGAGACATTGAACGAAAAGAGGCTTTAAGAAGAAGGAAGAAGGAGGGGTGTGAGGTGTGCGGTGTGGGGGTGCGGGGAAGGAGGATGCGGGGAAGGAGGTGTGAATTTAGGAGTTTTATTTTTTTTAAGGGTAATTTAGATATTTTATATATATTTTTTTAAAAAAGGGGGTATGTTTATACAAGAGTGGAGGTGTGTTCATCATCTGCCTTAAGAAATAGGGGTTTGCAAAAAGAAGTAGCCCATTTAAATCAAGATTCAAGACTACTTGCTCTCCTTGTTATTTTTTTTTTTTAATTTTTAATGTAGGGCTGGTTTTGTCTTGGGCCACTTCTTTGTGACCTTTTATTATGTACATATGTTGACCAAAACTAGATTATAAATCGATAAAGAAAAAAATCGATTGCTATTTTAATTTTAGAAGGTCGAAACTTGCTCTCTTTTGGTACACTGGAGACTAAATGCCCAAATTTAAAATCTTTAAAGAAAGAAACAGTTATGTGAACCCAATGTTTATTTTCGTCTAACTCTAAAATGAAAGTCATAATTTATCATTGGATAATAATATAAAAATAATTTTTTTACAATTCTAATATATTTTAATTAATTTCAAAATCTTATTTTAATATATTTAATTTGGTCAATCACTGCAAGAAATTGTACTTTTTAAAGATAATAATTATTATAATGAGTATAAAAATGATTTCTTGCAAATTACAATGATATTTTCAATTGTCACTATAGCTCAAGGATCGTGTTGCATGATTAAGAAACCATTTGCCTATTTGATCCAATCAATAACATAATTAAACCACTTATTTTGTTTAATCAACACGTTACATGATTATATAATTGATTCTTTGATTTGTTGATTTGGAAATAAGAAATTCATCATCACTCCACTCATAATATTTAGCTCTCTTATTTAGTCATATATTATGATACAATTCACTAAAAAAAATAGAATAATCATTATGCATTGTATATATTTAACTATATATATAATCATACTAATTTATTAATTATTTATCTGATTCAAACATTTGACTTTTTGGTCATTCTAAATTAAAAAAATACCAAAAATAAAATTTTTAAAAATTATTTATCAAAATAAATAATTTCTGCAAGTATGACATTAGGTTAAAGAAAATGTTTCTGGATGTGCCATTTTTTGAACATAGAATATTTGAATAGAAAGACGTTTTCTCTGTTCAAAAAATTTTGAACAAAAAACATCTCTCCCCTAGATGTGTTCTAATCAAGTATGATCAGCTGA